AGGACTTTCAGTGGTTTATGTTCTACCCATTCTAATGCTAGCACAATAGCCAATAATTCTCCTGTGTATACTGAGAGATTATCACTGGCCCATTTATTTGATTTCACATTTAATTCCAGTATAATGAATGCTGAACCAATTTTACCATTCACTGCCTTAGATGCATCTGTATATAGTATTAAGAAATTTTGCATAATTTTTATCTATATATCCAATTACTTCACGTTGTGTCACACTGTCCTTCTTCTCTATTTCTAAAAAGCTCATATCTATATTTACTTCAGCAAACATCCAAGGTGGGATCACAGATAATGGAACAGCAGGACTTAGCTGTTTGTCCTCCAAGAATAAAATCATAGTAGATATGAATTATGGTTGTAATGTGATATGCAGTATCTTTTATTAAACTGGTACTGAAAAGCAACTAGTAAGTAAAATTATTGTTGCTCCTCTGGGGTTCAGAGGGCATACGGTGTGTGTCTGGGATAGAGAATATGCAGAGGACACGTTTCAGCAGCTTTATTTGCAACGAGAGGAATGAGTCTTCCTCCTATTCACCTATTAACATGGCATCAACATGACTAGGTAACTGAATGGCCTTAACCCAGTCCAATGTGCATGTGGCCATAGCTTAGTTAAGCTCTATATATATATACACACATATTTACTTCCGCAAACATCCAAAGGTGGGATCACAGATAATGGAACAGTAGGACTTATCTGTTTGTCCTCCTAGCCTGCCTCACTAATCTTACCTTCTATCATACATCCAAAACTCCTCTGCTGACCTTTCTCTTGACAACTTTCCAGTAGTTTTTGAGTAGGATGACCCCATTTCTGCCCTTTTAAGTTTGCCCAATAAGTTAGTGCCAATTGTGTTCTTCATAAGGCCAGAGCTAATTCACCCATTTCCAACCAGCAAGTGAATGAGGGAAGGAGGAGATCATATGGGCTGAAGACCAGGGGATAATAAGCAACAGGAGGAAATAATGAGTGGTGATTGTGAACTGGGGTAAAACTGGGCCAGGTGAGGTGACACAAAACCAGATCAGACCAAAATAAAAGCACAAAAACAGGAAGTGAGTCCAAACCATAACAGCTTAGTGGCTTCAGCTTTGATATTTTGTCATTCCAGTACAGTTTGTACCATTACTTTTATGTGGTAATTACTGCTGAAAGTTTTTCTAGCCATAAAGTTAATAAAATAGATGTATTTGTCTTTTCACTCAACAAAATATAGGATGTGGCCAAACTTTTGCATACAGATGTATACTTTCATATGAATATGTTAGAAATTGTTTGCACTGTTAGAAATTGACCCGATTCTTTTGTTGGAAGCACGAGAAGTGAAGACAGGAGAGGACTGTTTAAAATCAACTGAAAGTTTACTGAATGTCTGATCACAGGTAGGCCTTACAGCGCTGCGATCAGGAAGACAGAGCTCCCGCAGGAGTTCCATCCACTGACCCCGAATTAAGTTCTGACAATACATTTTATTTTCTTGGGCTGCTCCGCCCTGGACAGGGGTGCAACCTTCAATAGTTTGTGATCCTATTGGTCATTTGGTGTGAGCCGGAGCTCGCACTTCCATGTTGAAATATGGTAAATCTAGCTATGTGTGTGTGTGCATGTCTCCAGCATCCAGATCTTGATCTCGAGGTGCACTGATCAAAGGGTGGCCTAAGTTGCAGGCCCCCTGTGTGTGTGATGCTAATAAGTGTGTTAAACTGGCCAGGTGGTCATCTCAGGTTGTAGCCCCAGCCTCTGCAGGACATCCCAAGATAAAGCAAAGCTTGGGATATGCTAAGTGGGTTGAGGTATGAGTGTAAAATAGGCCTTTGCTAAAATGTGAATAGGCTGTCTGGTCACAAGGAGATGCAGACATCTAGTCTCTACACAGCACTTACAGCATTCAAAGTAAGCAGATTCTGTTTCATTACAGCTGTAAGATATATAAGCAAGGCTAACAAATGTATTAAAATAACCAAAGCTCAGTAGTTCTGGACAATCAATACAGCTGTACTATGCATAAACAAGTAAGATAAAGTTATGAAAGGTAACTAAAAGGTATTAGAAGTAACTAAAGCTTATAAAGTAACTAGAGTCTATAAGACTCAAATCTTACAGCACGCATGGAAGTGAGCGAGCGGTAGAGAGAGGCGGACCCAGGTAGCCGACTTCGGTGCAAGCTGTGATTTATTACAAACAATGTAGTGTACAGACAAAAACAACAAGTACATGGATAATGAATGAGAAGAGTGACCGGGTGTCGACCAGCAGCAGGAGGTGTAGATAGGTGAAGTGGATGAGGTGGGCCGAGCTGCGTTGCAGGGTCACTCCTGGGCTGGTCGGTGGGTGATGGTGGCTACTGGAAAAAACACAGAAAGGCATTGGAATTTGGCAGACAAACTGGTGACTGTGCATCGACCTGTCTGGGAGGGTAGAGTGGAGCCAAAGTCCGGAGGAAACAGTCCATGTAGAGAATAGTAGCTGGCTAGAAGAGGTGAACGAATGAAAGTCTGGGGAAATAACAAACAGGTGCCGAATTAAGGCAAACAATAACAACATAACAATCTATGGAGAGGACGAAGAGAATAGCCTAAGAACGAGAACGAACTGGCAAGTGAGTGAGAGGTGAGCTGGGCATAAGTAAGGGTAGACTAATGAAGTGCAGCTGGTGAAAATCAAGGGGTGAGGTGCAGGTGTATGTGATCAGCAATCAGAGGCTAAAAGAGAGAGACAAAGTGAAGAAGGTGAGAGAGGCCAGTGTGGCTGGGCAAACCTGACAGAATAAAAGTAATAATAATGTAAATACCTTAACACTGTAAACATAAGCACCCATTTTGATCCAGTGACACAGTAAAAAATGCGTTGCACTTTAAAACAGAACATTTGCACAAGAACTTACATTTACTGAGATATCTGTATACGTTGTCTGACTGAATAAAACCCAGACTGAATTTAAATCTGGATCATGGACTGAGTCAGGTTCCAGATACTGTAACCTGAGATCTCAGTGAACCTACTTCCTACAACAAACCCAGTGATAGTCACCTTGAGTTGAACACTTCAAGACAACAGCTCTTCTGATGTGAGTTCATGGAGTTGTGTGTCGAGCGGAACAGTTTAGAGCAGCTGCATCCGTTAGCACCCATTATCTTGTGCTGCTGTTAGGGTGATTTTTATTTTACGCTCTTATGAATGGTTTTATTTTATAGCACATATAAGTTTACATACTTATATGTCACAGTTATGTTTACATAGTTACATATAACCCTGTGTGTTCACTGAACCACTGAATTAGTCACTGAAGCACTGTTCAACATTATAGGGTCTTGTCCACTAAATCACTGAATCTCATTAGATTTACAGCTCTGGCTAAGAGAGTCCACAGTGAATTTATTATCACCACCGAGCTAGTGGAGCCAGGGAAGTTACCATTCACTGGGACTCCAAGGTTAGTTAAACAGAGCTTAGATCTGGAAGCTAGCAGAGGAGAAAGCTTCAAAGGTAGGAACATTATGCACACACACACACACACAGAACAGTTTTAATTAGTGAAACGGAAAGCAATGCCTAATATGGAGCAGTTAGTTGGAAACAAAGGAAGAAGTGAGTGTGTATGTAGAAATTAAGGCAGTATAGGTATTCTTTCCCTTCCTAGGGCGCTGCCCTCGATGACTGGAGTAGACAGGACGTTGGAGGATGGATGGGCTGAAGGACCAATAACAGGAGAGTCTAAACCACGACAGTTTTTGACCAATTAGATAGTAGCACCTTTTCATACAAATATTGTATAGTGATAAGTTGAGGACAGTCTTTTATGTTTTCCCAAAACAGTGAAGATCCATGTGCACATGCTAATTTTGATACGTTAATGTATAATAAATTTCACACTGTGAAATATCCTTTTATTAGCCTTCTCTTTTCAAAATAAAAGAACATGCCTCACACTGCCATCCAGTGGTTTCTGGACTTTTTTATTCATATCTACTTTATATTTCACTTGTATTGTGTGGCATTTATGTGGACGGCAAAGTAAGAATTTCATTGTACAGGGAAACACATTTCCTAACTGTGTATAGGATAAATAAACACTTTGACCTTGACCTAGTTAATAAACCCTATAGAGCTCAGTGTAGCTGTGCTGTTTTCTATGTAGGAGTTAGTCTTCATTTTGAAATTCAGTCTAGTATTTTCATAGATATGTGCACTCCTAAAGAAAAAAAAACACCTATAAAAATTATCTATGAATTTCATATTTCAAATGTGACCAACAACATTTGTTTTATACAAAATTTCAGTTCCTGTTTCATAAGCTGTGAAAACTCCTTTGTGGGATGACAAGGTGAGGACAAGCAAATTGCTGACAAAGGATAAAGCATAGGTGCTTAACGATGTTCAGGTTAATTTAGGGCCAAAGTTCAAATATCCCCTCATTCTACTGACCTCCACAGTGTATGTCCAGTTTTGATTTTGTTTTTTCTGGTTGTCTATTGTATTGATATATCTACAAGCAAAGAAAAAGACAATAATGAAAACATAGAGTGAGTTAATGTACTTAGATCATCTCCCTTTGGGCCCAGTCTCTGTGTGTGGCTGCTCTCAACAAAACAAGATGAAAGTCCAGCAGCTGCCTCAGTTTGGGTTACACTGGGCAAGCTATCAGTGAATAACTGTGGCTCCATGGACATGTAGGAGCTGGTAGCTGAATGTCAGCTGTGACTGTTTATAACCACATTGGTCGTTCATAAGCATTTCATATAATTTATCCTTTGTGCTCAGCCATTATTTAAAGCTCTTTATTTGACTTGAGAAATGTGATGCTGGTTGTATAATTTAGTGTGACATTTTTTATTTCATTTCTGTAAATTCTTCATATGTTTTGAATGACATGAAATGCATTAGCTATACTGACTTTTTTGGGCACACCAGTTAATCAGCTCTGCTGCTGTGTAGACATGAAGAGCAACAACAGCCTGTCTCCCTCCTGTTTTCAGTTCACTGTGTTTTCAGACTATGGGCCACTCAGATATCTTTTCTTCGGCCTGTCTCTGTTGATCTACATCACTATAATCTCTGCTAATGCTGTCATTGTTCTGTCAGTCTGCCTGGAGACCTCTCTACATCAGCCCATGTATATTTTCATCTGCTCTTTGTGTTTAAACTCTCTGTACGGCTCAACCGGCTTCTTCCCCAGGTTCCTGATGGACCTTCTGTCTGACACTCATTTCATTTCACGTCCATTCTGTTTCATTCAGGTGTACATTATGTACACTTATCTAGGAGATGAGTTGAATATTCTCACTGTCATGGCCTATGATAGGTTTGTTGCTATTTGCCAGCCTTTACAATATCACAGTAAAATGACATTTAGGATGGTGCTACTTCTTTTGACACTTGCTGTGTTGCACCCTGTGTGTATTTTAGGCTACTTTGTCTATCAGGCCAGCAGTTTGCCTTTGTGTGGAAATAGCATGAACAGGGTTGCTTGCAACACCTGGTCTATAATTGAGCTCTCCTGTGTGGACACAACTGTGATCAGCATAGCAAGTCAGATTTTTGCTATAATATCAATGTTCATCCCCCTGTTCTTTGTCCTGTACACCTACCTGCGCATTCTTCTTGTCTGCAGGAGAAGTTCATCTGAATTCAGAGGAAAGGCCTTACAGACCTGCCTACCTCACATAGTGACTTTTGGGAACTTTTGCATCTCTTTATTCTGTGAGTTTTCACTGAGTTGGTATAATGTTGATGGACTAACTACATTTGCTACTGTTTTATCTCTGGAGTTTCTGATCATTCCTCCCATCATTAACCCTCTAGTTTATGGCCTGAATCTGCCTCAGATCAGAAGGGTGATTTTTGCATTTCTAAGGGCAGGAAAAAGGCTTCATCTTCCATAATTCAACAACCCAGGCAGAGAGAGAAGTTAATGAAGCCTTAAGTCTATTATTCAAATTATAT